AAGTCAAGTGGAAAACCTAATTAATGCATTACCAACCTTGTTTTTCCGTATCTACCTTGTTACCAGTTTTACTTTGTAAATGTCTAGTTATGCTTAGCCATGCTTAGACAGATCAAAGTCGGCTGATTACCTGTCACCTGCAAGTTTTAAATGGATCTTTGGTTACGTTTGGTTACTTATGTGATCATAAAATATGAGCATGTGGAGTAATAAATCTAGACCGGACGGACTCGGTGTGTGTGAGCCACAAGACATGGAGGTCTTGTGAGCGGGTTCTTTCCGCCTATGTCGGTTAAGGTCCGTCCGTTGTTGAACTGTGTGCGGTGAGACTTTGTAGTACTAACCACATACTCCGGTAAGCCTTAACTTGGCTATTCTATTACGAGAATGGCTACTCGCGCACTAGGAGTGGAGAGATGGCGGGAATAGTGTGTACCCACATGTCAATGGGCTGGATTGGTGGGGTACTGTATTCTAGGGTGGCGCGGACCCATTCTTGTTTAGAGGATCCGAGGGTAGGTTGGTATATGTAGGTCGGGGACCTGCATATGTCGTGTGGTCTGGAATTCCCAGCTGGGTTTAATCGGTTTGAATCGTCGTTGCTCCTCGGTTATGGAGACTCACTTCTCTGTTCATCATCGTAGTATTAATAACTGTAACTTGAGGATGGTTTGAGAAAGTGTTGGATACGAAGTTTCATGATCTCTATACGGATCGTGTCAGCTTTGTATATGATCTTATGAAGTTTTAAATTTTGATGTAAAGAATTTTATTAAAAAGCTTTTACGCAAAAGAACTTTGATTATTGCTAAAGCCATACCTTGAATCCCTAAGCCTGCATTCTTAAGTTCTATTAGTTTTTATTTTTGGTTAAGTCTTATTGAGTACTTTTGTACTCAAGGTTCGTTGACCCTTGTTGTAGGTGAGGCTCATGAGCAGATCTATTTTGGATCGTGCTGCATGACTGTTGTTCAGTGCGATGACGTTAAGTAAATGCGTGGCCCTTGGGCAGGGCAATCCATTTGTGTGTTCTGTAATATGTTATAATGCCACTCCACTACTGTGGTTTGTATTATTTATCGAACTTAGTTGTATGGTTTGAAACAAATGGTTTGTAAACTATGTTATTGTAAAACTTCCGCTGATTTACTCTGGTGTAGATATTTGAATAAATGTTGTAATACTGCAATGACTCTGTAATGGGATCTTGCTCGGAAATCGTGGATGATTCGGGGTTCCCCGAGGACACCCGATAGTCTTCTTAAGTTACCAGGAATATATGCATAGATGTCAAAGGTCGTTGGACAGTGACAGATGCATGTGGGCCCTATAATTTAGGAGGTTCTGCCACAGCGGCCCACAAAGGGAGATCAAGATTCCTAGAATCCTTCTGTCTGAAAAAGCCTTCAAAGGAGTATCCTCCACCTCCGTAGGCTCGGGGGCTACTATTGGGTATCCGTGTCAGGGATACCCGGAAGAAGGAAGCTAATGGATGCAAACGCTAACTCCCTCGGATGGTCAAGAGCGCATCTTGGTCTTGCCCGGCCCTGAGGGCATGGGCTATGCCTCGTCCGACCCCCGAGGGCGCGGGCTCCCCCTCGCCCGACGGAGGTCTATACCACACCCAACCACTACGGGTCTAAAAGTACGAGTCGGGGGTCAAACTTCTGACGCCAGAAGGGGAGCAGACGCGTCTTGACGTGACCTGCGGCCATGATGGGCCATGTCTGAGGATGCACGTCGCCAATAGCATCGGGCGTGTCGATGCTGTACTACCTACTCCTCGTATGGCCTTAGGCAGAGACATCAACGAGCCATACTGTCCGCTAGGACGGGATGGAGCGCCACGACTGGCTAACGACACCCGCGTGCGGCGTCAGTGACGAACAGGGCCACGACGTGGAGCCATCCCCCTCGTCATCTACAGGGTCGGCGGGACCCGCATGAAGGAAGACGCTGCGATCCCGGAAGCCTTCCTCTCCTCGTCTCTTTCTCTCTCTCCGATGTAACCTGCATCTTCCCCTTTATCTATAAAAGGGGAAGCAGGGCACCCCGCTGAGGGGGTGATTCGAAGACACATCTAACACATTTGTGCGGCGAAAGGCTTAGACGCTCGGCCGTAGATAGAGAGCTAAACCAGACTCACTCTTCCCACTAGAAACTTGGGACCTTCTCCCTCTCTGGCCTGTTTGTTAGCTTTACTACAAACCAAGTGCCAGTAACACGGGCAGCAGTAGACTGGACGTAGAGACGTTTCGCCCGAACTAGTATAAATCCTTGTGTCCTCCGAGCACAACCATCTGGGTCAGACGCATAAACTAGAAATTTACTAGCCAGTGATTCAAAACACCGATAGCTACGATCCCATGTTCTGAGGTCGTGGCATGCGTTGGCTTGGATGGCCTCTAAGTTAAGGCCATCGTCGTGGATCCCATCTCGTAGTGGGTGGGATCGTACAAATGTCTTATCGGGCCGTATTGGGACAGTGGTTCTCTGTACCTGCTGTCACCGTTTGGCGGTGTTGTCTTTTCTCTGCCGTGTGGCTCAGGAATGACGTCTGACCGGATCGAGGTGACCGCTGTCCCCTTGGTCCTTGCGGGGTTAGTGCGGCGTGCTTGCTCCTGTCGGAGTAGTCCCGCTTGGTTAGACTCGATCTCTTCCATCCCTTCCTAGGGGTCAGGACGACAAGAGGTCGTGAGTTGCCGCGTAGCGTGCGGCTAAGGCAAGAGGAAGGGGTCGTAGCTGACCCCGGCTTTAGTGATTGGCCCGGTCCGCTTAGCTTAGCTGGGCCTCGGTCATTCGGGCTCAAGCTTGGCTTCAGTATCGCGGGCCGTCCGGCCTGCCTGTTATTTGATGCCTTGAGACACCCGGAGATCATAACCCCGGCAAAATTAAAACAGAGGAAGAATTATTTATCTATATCTATTACTGTACAACAAAGGCAAATAAAATTACATTATGCTCCGTGGGCAATTTTGGAATTATCACCACTACATGAAGCTTTGTTTGGATGTGTATGTATTCATCTCAATCCACATGTGTTGAAGTGGATTGGAGAGTAATTAATGTAAGTTCCATTCTATTTCACTCCAACACATGTGGATTGAAGTGGATACACATGCATCAAACATGGCCTGACGTCCACGGTACTTCGGATCCACCCAACACATGGGTCACCTTTGAGACATGGCTTTTCTTTTGCCCCTCGACATACCTTTCGGCTTTCGTATGACCCACAATTCTTCTCGCATCATTTTCAAGTCCCTCCCTTACTATTTGAATTCCACGAGGATAGTTTAGGTGTGACTTCAGCCCTCTCGTGTCACCTTCATCGCTGGACTCCATCGCAACCACCTCCCAAATCTTGGAGGCAAAACTCAAAAATATATGCATACATTGGGTAGATGTAGCTGCAAAGGTCGTGCCCCCTAACAGTGAGGTCACAAGTGATGTCAAGTATTTTCTCTATAAGAGCAGTAATTATCAAACGCGCCGTAAAGGTCGTGCCCCAACAGTGCTGTCAACGCACGTGCCGCAAACGTCGTAACCCGCCAATAGTGGTGTCTACGCACGCGCTGCAAACGTCGTACGCCAACAGTGGGGCGGTGCTGATAGTCGAGGTAGATGTATAGCCGATGTCCGTGCAGGCTGGCCTCACAGCAGGCGCGCACGTCTCCCGGCTGGGCCGTCGGGCGCACACGGTCATGCTCATGCCCGCCCTGCCTTATCCCGAAGAAGGTGACAGTGACACCGCAGCGGAAGGCGTTGCGCAGGCTGTGGCAGCTCTGTCGTCACTCGTGACATCGGATCGTGAGTACGTCGTGACAGGGTGACGTGCATGATTTCTGTTTATGGAAAAAGTCGGTAGCCTGGCACATGAATACTTCTCGCCCACTGATGATAGTAACAACTGATGATTGTTAGATAGTAAAATAGTTCATGGCATCTTGTAAAGTTTTGATGATTATTAAATACTCTTCAATGCTAATAATATATAAATTTTTTGACTTTTATAGATATATTAATTTTACTATATATCTAAATATATTGCACGTCTAAATGTATAACCATGAACAAACTCTACACTCGAGTCATAGCTTCACATAAGTACACACAATATCAAGTTTTTTTTTTTTTTTTGCGACTCACAAAATCAAGTTCCTGCTCGTGCTTCCAATAAGACTGGGCCCTTCACTGTTCTTCTCTCTACATTATTTAGAACAGGTATTCCTGAGGACATCTGCAGGAGAGTGCCACGCCAATCGCATCATCATTGTTGTTTTCAATTATTTTTAGCTCTGCTTCTTTGGTGTATCAGCATACTTCCAGGTGGCATGTTGAAAGGAAGCGAATTGTCTTTCACCAGCCACATCTTGTTCACGTATCTGGCTGCCCATTTCTTTCAGATCTTCGTCTGTCAGTTTCACGTTCAAGGAGTCAATGTTGGAATCTAGATTCTTGATTTTGGTTGTCCCTGAGAAATTGTAGGAAACATCTGTCAGTGACTAAATACAGGACTATCGGAACATATAGCCATTAAGCATGACTACTGATGACTTGCTTTGAACTTGGAAGGGAATAATAAGTGCAGGACTCAAGAATAAGTCAGTTAAATCACACCATTTCAAACCAACAAAAGTATTTCATAGCTCAGTAAAAGAGATCATATGGCACAAACTATTCAACCCATCATGCACACACATTCGGAAGGAAGGAGGTTACTTCCCATCGAAACAAGGAAAGTTTGTTTGACTGGATGTGTTCCTCTACATTATAGTGGTTCTCTGCCAAAGTAGAAAAGGGTTTCTCCCCAATCATACAACTTAAACTATTTCCAATCATTAATGGTCTATGAATATGATGCCATACACTTTTCTCTGAAAGTGTATACAAGAAAAATGTGTCTGTAAATGCATCTTTGGGTGAACAACTCTGTGACTCATCAGCCTGTAAGCACTGACCATCGTCAGTGATAAGAGAATGAGATTATAAGGTCACACCTGGTATAGGAACCACATCATCTCCTTGATGCAGAACCCATGCTAAAGCCAGCTGAGCAGGGCTGCAATGGTGCTTATTGGCCAGTTCTTCCATTCGCAGATAAATTTGCTTGTTCCTCTCCAAATTTTCTGCTGCAAACCTTGGGTGCCCATGCTGACAAGCCAAAGTTAAATCTGTAAGTGAACTAAAAAAAGGTTTTGATATAGACCAAGAGATGATTATTTTTTCTTTTGCAATGGAAGAAATAAACAATATTCTGAGGTAGACTGTATCAATACCAGAACAGATTCAGCGGACACTTGTTCTTTCACTCCTCTCCCACCGAAAAACCCACGGCCAATAGGACTGTAGGGCACAATTCCAATGCCCAGTTCTCTGAAGTCCACAGCAAAAAGAATCTTATTACATGATAAATATCCGGTAGGGACTAAGGAGTCAGGACCTCCATGGGCTGGAACAAAAGAGTCTGCAATCCATGAATCACCTGCAGAGCGGCACAATTTCGGGCTCAATGTCGCGAGACCAGAGAGACCACTCCATCTGCACCGCGGTGATCGGGTGCACAGCATGTGCGCGCCTAATGGTGTCCGGGCTCGCCTCTGACAATCCGATGTACTTGACCTTCCCATCCTCCACCAACTTCTTGAGCTCGCCAATCTGCAATGATTTCGAACAAAGAATTCACATGAGCAAACACACCAACAACGCCGACTGCTTTAAGGCAGGTCGAATGTGCAGGCAGGCTGCACAGACCGTCTCCTCGATGGGAACTGTGGTGTCAATGCGGTGTTGGTAGTAGAGGTCGATGCAGTCGATGTCGAGGTGGCGGAGGCTGGCCTCGCAGCAGGCGCGAACGTACTCCGGCCGCCCGCACACGGTCCGCGCGCCGCTCTCGTCACGCCGGAGCCCGAACTTGGTGGCCACCTGCACCTGCTCCCGCGGCAGCTGCTTCAGCGCCTGCACACATGCAGCGATCGATGTCTTCCGCGGGTCAGTAAAACTCGCTCACGCTCACAAGAACTCTCCAGGAAAAAAAAGAAAAGAAAGGGCGGACCTTGCCGAGGAGGATTTCGTTGGTGAAGGGCCCGCCGTATTCGTCGGCGGTGTCGAAGAAGGTGACCCCGCGGCGGAAAGCGTGCGTGATCACCGCAATGCCGCCCTCGTCGTCCACCGGGGAGTTGTACGCGCCCGTCAGTCCCATGCACCCGAACCCTAGCATGGACACCTACACGGATGGAATCAATCGGCCGAGTCGATTCAATCAAAGCACCGGGTTAGCGGAGAACGAGAGAGCGGAGGCGCGGCCGCCGCAACAAGATAATTCGGGGAGAGGTGAACGGAGAGAGATAAAGCGACCTCGAATCCCTGGGTGCCGAGCTTGACGCGCGGAACCGGAGGGGCTTGGCTATTCATGGCCGCTGCTCGCCGGTGAACTGAACGAGGAACGGTGGAATGAAGTTTGGTTCCAGGAAACATAGCAGCCACTTTTGCGAGAATTTATAGGGCACATGGGTACATACTGCATCACAATAGATTAAAGCATCTCCTACAGACAGGCTATCATACTCGGTTTTGGCAAAACTTTAGAAAAACAGGCTTTAACAGCCTCGTCAAACGGATCTCCAAAATGACAAACTCGGTATCCCGCCTTTGTCGCTCTGGAGAAAAAGCGAGCAGACTTCGCTCGCCATCCCATCCGTTGTGGGCCTCGTCCGCCAAGCATCGCTGTCGTCCTAACCCGTATCCCCGCCGAGTGCCGACGCCGACCATGCTCCCATCCCCGCCGAGCACCACTGCCATTCACGTCCCACGCTCCCACCAAGCGTCACGCCGTCCATGCCCCAGGCCATGAAGCAACAAGTTGCAAGCAGCAACGGTCATGGAAGCAACACGCATTCATAGGCTCCGGCAGCTGTGCAGCCGCGGGCATCAAGTGTACCGCCATCCAAAGTCAAACGAGCACCTAACTGCTACTCCTGGGATGAAGGCCAAACCAAGATTGGCCGCCGCTGCCACAATGGCAGCAACGAGGAGGCATGTTTGTGTGCTTGTGCCTGCCTTTGCTCGTGGGGCCATGAGCACCAAGGAATTTGACTGACCAGGAGGAGAGCGTATAGGAGGTGCTGCTGTTGTGCGGCGAGGTGGATGCCTTGCGGAGGGAAGTGCCGCGCCTGCTCTGTTCAAAGTAGACCTTCGGCACCAACAGCAAGCAGAGGCGCCGAGCTGCCGCTGTCCATGCCCCGAGGTGCTTGATGATATGCTTTAAAGTGATGACGTATGAGTTTCATCCAAGCCTAATGACGTGGCAGCCGGTTCAACAAATAAAGAGCCAGCTTTAACCAAGCTGTTGCGGAACCTTTTCATTTTGATAGGCTAAATTGTTTTAGAGAGCCAATTTCCATATCCAAATTTAGCCATACTCTTGGAGATGCTCTAAGACTAAAAATCAAATTTGCATTCTAATTTCCGCAGTCAAACTAATTTCCATGGCCCTTGTCAAGTATTGTAGTAGTAGTTAACAAACGTGCCGTGCCCCCAACAGTGATGTCGACGCACACGCGGCAAACGTCGTCGTAACCCCCAATCGCTGCAAACGTCGTACCCCCGACACCGGCGCGTGGCGGTGCTGATAGTCGAGGTAGATGTAGACATAAGGATGGCAACGGGGATGTACCCGTCGGGTATCGTCAGAACGTTCTCTTCCCCGCTACGGAGAATTCATCTCGTCCCCGTTAACTGTCTCGGGTATAGATTCTTGCCCATCCCTGTACCCGTCGGGCATCGGTCGGGTAACAGATACCCGACGGGTACTGCATACTCAATAAACAAGGACACTTAGGGTTGCAGCTTTGCAATCGGAGACGTTTCTTCTTTACCCGGATATAAGTGTCGGAGTCTCGGAGATGCCGAGGAGAAGGAGCGAGGTTGCGAGGAGGACGAGCAAAGGTGGCAGAGAGACCGAACTGAGGAAGAGAGGGGCACGAGCGCTCGTGAGGTAGGCGTGCTTGTGCTGTTTGCCGAGATGGTGAGGAAAAATTAAACTAAGGTTCCTAGAACACACAAACTATATATATGATTGTTCAGATTTGGACTAAAATATCTATGTTTGGCTTCTTTGGGCCTAATACTCGCATGATAGCTCAAATAGTCGGGTTCCTCCAACGGGTAACGGGGATGGGTAAACATGGAACGTTCTCGTACCCGCTATACCCGTCGGGGATAAATTCTTACTCATTTAGATGCCCACGGATAAAGATATGATTCCATCCCTATCTCCTAATGAATCAAATACCCGTCGGGTATCGGGTATCGGGACCCATTGCCGTCTTTATGTAGACGACGCCTGCTCAGGCTGGCCTCGCAGCAAGCGCGCACGTATCCCGGCCGGGCCGTCGGGCGCACACGGTCATGCTCATTCCGGCGGCGCCCTGCCTTATCCTGAAGACGGTGACACCGAAGCGTAAGGCGTGGCGCAGTCTGTGGCAGCTCTGTCGTCACTCGTGACATCGGATAGTGAGTCGTGACAGGGGGACGTCCATGATTTCTGTTTGTGGAAAAAGTCGGTAGTTTGGCATGAATACTTCTCGCCCACCGGTGATATTACAACTTATGATTGTTAGGTGGTAAAAAAATAGTTCACGGCATCTTGTAAAGTTTTTTTTTGCGACAGAAAGAAAAATTATATTAATAATAGCCCGTGGTACATCAACACGTTACCAGCACAGTGGATTACATAAATATTCAGAAATTGATTTTCATCTAAATGGTACCCATGCTGTGAATAGCTCCGGACCTCAAATCCAAATCTATACGATGATTTGCAGTATGGATAATTTCACAGGCAAACACTCGGCAAACGCTCTGAGAATAGATGCCCAACGAACGACGACCAATATTCATGTAGGTGAAGTTGAGAAATTTCTTCTTTCTGATGTCTTTCTTCTTCTTTCTACCACCAAAGAATGAGAAAGACTGATCTGAAACTTATTCTCCCTAGTGTTTCATCATGGCCAGATCTAACCACAATAAAACGGATAAGAGACCGAAGAAAATTATTCCATGACGGCGACACCATCTCCACCTTAATGTCGCAGTTTGGAAATAAAAGGCTCCATGTCGTCAAACCGGTGATGATGCTGACGTCGTAATTGTCGCCCTCATCTTCAACAAAGCCACCATGGAGAAAACGATTCTACCCTGCCCTCTCACCATCGTCGGAGAGGAGGAAATAAATTCTCAGAACCAAAAAATTTGGCATGGAGAGACGCTAACCCTAAAGACTCGATCTACTGAAAAAACTTATTAATAAAAAAGATGGATCCTCACTCCCTCTGACCTCCGACGATATGCCGGAGGGGAGAGGGAAGGGGACCAACGGTGGTGGAGGCGGGGGGCGGCGGCGCTCCGAGTCGTGAGACCCTTCAGTCGCGAGACCCTAGCGGCGACATCTTGTAAAGTTTGGACGATTATTCGATACTCTTCCATTCTCAATTATATATAAAACAATTTGACTTTTATAAATACATTAATTTTACTATATATCTAGACACTGTGCATATATAAATGTATGTATAACAAAGGCTATATATCTAGCAAAACCAAAACGTCTTATAATTTAAAATGAAGGAAGTAGTAAAATTTTTGTCTGAAATTGAGTTGGATTTTTATCATACATGAGTTAGATTTTTGTCATACATGTCCCTGTACGCTCAGGGTTTCATGCTCTTCGAGCTAGTTTAGCGGGGATTCGAACGGCTCCAGTTCTATCTGAAGTTCTAGCAAACAATCATTCAAAAAATAACCTGGGCGAGGAAGCCTAGAGGAGCTCAGAAAATATGGTTTCTCCGGACTCCTCCCACAAACTTGGTATAAATTATAACAAAATTACCATTTGAGCTGTTTTTGCTAAACGTTTTCTAGAATGAATTTAGCTTCGTAAGAGAAGATGCCCCCACAAGAGGAGCCAAAGTCGATGAGAGCCTTATCAAACTGACCCTTCTTCTACATTTCTGTGCAAATAATCGCAATGTAATTCCGAGAAAGCAGAAAGAGGAGCAAGATGCCTGTATAGTAGCTATTGTTAGATATTTAGGCATTTTCATTATCAGTTTAATCTAGAAATATAATATCAGCAGGTTTGTGACATCATATATGTGCATGTGTATATTTCTTATGAACGCTACAGCATGCATAGATGACATACTGATTGATACAGTAAGAATACAAAATACAGTAATCATAGAGATTAGAGCGTACCCAGCTGAGGGTCCCATGCCGAGGGTATCGGAGGCTCCATTCGCACTAGTCGACATAGTGCGTTGCTCGAAGTCACGGACCACAGTCGATGCAGGAAGATGTTCGTAGTACAGTCCCAC